AGGGAGAGAGAGAGATGGTGGAGAGGAGAGAGAGAGAGGTGGAGAGGAGAGAGAGAGAGATGGAGGAGAGAGAGAGAGAGAGACGGAGGAGAAATAGGAAGAAGAGTAGGAGGAAGAGGAAGACGACGACTACGAGGAGGAGGACAAGAACAAGGAAACTGACGAACTTAAGAAAAGGAGAAAGAAGAAGAAACAGGAGGAAGAGAAAATTAAAAACTACAAGAAATACACGCCTAAAACACCCCAAAATTCCCTTAGTAAAACTAGCCAACAGCTTTTCAGTTGATACTTCGTGGCACCATTATTCCGTTTTAGAAAGATTACCAGAGACAGAAAATGAAGGAAAACGATTGTGAAAATTCCTCAAGTGGAACTGTGTGCCAAATGGATGTAAGTGGATGACTTTCTTTACGACCTTTTGAGCTGATAAGATTAAACCACTTTTTGTGCAGAGATTGGCATTGTTAGCGTTAAAAAAACAACTAAATTAGTCGCGCAGTTTAAGGCTTGAAGAGTTATCGCTAAGCATCTCATATGACATGGAAATGCACACAATTCTTTGAGTGGTTATAGTTCATGAAATATATGTATGTGTATGTATCTGTGTGTAGATCTTTCTAACTAAAGCTTACGGTGTGTGTGTGTGTGTGTGTGTGTGTGTGTGTTGTGTGTGTGTGTGTGTGTGTGTGTGTGTGTGTGTGTGTGTGTGTGTGTGTGTGTGTGTGTGTGTGTTTGTGATTGTTTGTGCGTGTGTGTATGTGCGTGTGCTTGTGCGTGTGTGTGTGTGAAAAGAGGGCTAACAATATTTAAAGATTTATTTACCCTAGATTTTTAAAAGTGGGAAAAATATCGGAAAAAAATATACTCTGGCTGGGTCATTCTAGTGCACTTTTCCGGAACCAACAAGCTATCAAAATAAGTTAAGTATTACAGTTAAAAATATAAACTTGAATCTGAATGGCTTGTTAAGTGGGACATGTTTATCTTTCATGCGGACTGATTAAGATATAATTGATATACTTCCTTTAATCTATTACTCAGTGGGGCGTGCGATCTTTGACATGTTATATAACGTGATCTGGCGCTAGCAAAAAAGAAATAGCAAGTTTAAGATTAATCATCAATAAACTTGAAAAAAGACGGTAAGACTCAGAGACGAGACAGACATGAAAATAAATCCCTTTTGAAAAAAAAAAAAAAAAAAAATGGCGGTTGTTTTTCCATCTACCAACACCAGTTCCCGGATGTGCAGGCCGCCTCAGCCACGAACACTTCATTCAATCACAAGATCCGCAGACTTTACTTTATATTTCTACTTTTCAGCGTGTATATTGCATTATAAATCTCTGGGGCAGTAAACGCCAAGTCACCCGCTCTAATAAGGACGCTTAGAATCAAGTGCGGTTTAAGAATTCGGGAAACATCCTTGGAGTTTCGACCTCGTGCTCCAACACGGGCGGATGTTTGAGTTTAACCTCGCTCTCTCTCTCTCTCTCTCTCTCTCTCTATCTCTCTCTCTCTCTCTCTCTCTCTCTCTCTCTCTCTCTCTCTCTCTCTTTCTTTCTTTCTTCCTCTCTCTCTCTCTCTCTCTCTCTCTCTCTCACTCTCTCTCTCTCTCTCTCTCTCTCTCTCTCTCTCTCTCTCTCTCTCTCTCTCTCTCTCTCTCTCTCTCTCTCTCTCTCTCTCTCTCAATTCGTCGTTTTCTAACCCCGTAGGTCAATATGGGGCTTTATTTCCGTAGTATTTAAGGTCAAGTGGGGTGGGTTTTTTATTTGTTCTCTTAATGTATTTGGGAATATCTGAGGTCAAATGAGCTTTTTTATGTATTTCGGAATATCTGAGGTCAAATGAGCGTCTTGTTTGTTTCTATTATGTATTTGTGAATATCTGAGATTAAATTTGTTGTTTGTTAATGTATTTTAGAATATCTGGAATCTAAAGCACTTTCATTTATCTGATATCTGAGGTCAAACTAGTTTTTTGGGTTGATTTTTTTTCAGTATCAAGCCATAAGCGAATTATTTGCATACTGCTTCTTAAAAAAAACTATCTTGGGAGTAATTGATCTTGATTTCCGCCTTAGAGAAGGTGACCTCGTTGACCGCCAATGACACGCTATATCGCATCGAAAAGGTTAAACGCGGCATCTTGAACGTGGTCAAAGGGGAAACAAACCTAATATATCTCAAAGATTTCATCGTTAAAGCGTTGGTATTGGTTTTGACTTGTAATGGTGACTGATGTTATTAAGGGGATATGACAAGGGTAAATTGCAGTGTCTGTTTAGTATGTTAAGTATAATTGTCTGGTTTTATTTGGTATGTTTTCGTCTGACTGATTGGCATTTCGATAAAAGGCAGTTAAAGTGTGCTAGTTTTATTTTCTTATGTCCTGTCTGTTATGAAATGGCGTTTTGAGAAAGACAGTTTAGTGTATTAGTCCGAATTCTTCTGTTGTTTCGACTGATAATTGCAGTAAGTTCTTTTTTCTTTCTTTCTTT